ACTTAGATTTTATGTCATTGGAAATTACTAAGATTTGGAGGTTTATGTAATTTGGAAATTACATAAATAATTTATATAATGATCTTTTGTAGAGCATTGTGTGTGTGTGTGTGTGTGTGTGTGTGTGTGTGTGTTTGCACAACAGACCTTTATTGCTGGCAGGTAAATTATTCCTACTATTTTAATTTTACAGATGAGGAAACCCAGATTAAATAAATCGTTAAATGATTTGCCACAATTCACTCAACTAATAAGCAATAGGCCTGGGATTCCAACACAGACTCCCTGTATTTATAAGATCAGTGACCCTTCTAACACACCATGTTGTTTTCTACATATAATAAGATAAAATATTAGCAGGAAGCATCATTACTAATCTGATATGGATCCACCAAAATATTTAATATGTGCTTGCAGAATGTCTATTCAAATCTCCATCTGACTATCCTCCTAACTCTATAACTACAAATTTGGTCTCCTTGTCGCTTCCAAATTCACTTCAGAATCATTTCTTTCTCCTTTTCCACTCTACCTCTGGCCTGACCTGTGGGATAGCCTTCCTAAATCTATACCCATTCACTCCATAAATACACTCTGAACACCCACTATATGTGAAATACTGGGATAAATAATGTGAAAGAGATGAGTGTGGGAAACTTCAAACACTTAACTGGTTCTCAGGATATGTTTGCTAAGTGGATTTTGCCCTCAAGGCGCTTACAGTCTAACAGGGGGACATATATCATGCACATCTGTGGATTTTATGAACTCTAAAAAGGGCTGAAAACCAAAATGCTAAAGATTAACTCAACTCTCAACCAGCCTTCCTCTTGTTTTTCCTATTTGCGCGGTTATAGGCACACAGTAAGTGTTTATTACATGTTGACTTCCCAGAAGAGATGGGTGTGAAATAGCAAAAATAAACAAGAGAAATGGGAGTCTATCATATGTACAGATGGGGAGGTGGGGAGCATTTAGGTCTACAGAAACAACAGAAACACAGTGAGGCCATCTGGAGTGAGTCACAACGTAAAATGGGCAGATCATAGAGAGAACAGAGATTTTACCAGTAGGTCCTTCAACAAATATCTTGGCTTTCCAGACCAGTTGCTATGAATGAGAATATTCTGAACATGCTTATGAATCAGTGGGAGAAACTGTCTCCTCTCAGTCTTCCAACTCACTGTAAACTGGTGAATATATGTTTAATTCTTCATAAAGACGATCTTCTGGAACCTGGTGGGGGACAAAGTATTCAACATCAATCACCAAGAATTTTCTACCACTAGAAGTCTTGTTCAAGAGACACAGATCACCTCATTTCATCCCTCTGAATGTCACGTTCTCTCCCATTACACTCTAATTATTCCCTCCACCTCCAACACACCAAGCCAGATTGGCTGGCCAAGTGGGACCAAAAGAAATCATGTCAGTCAATGACAAGTTGGTGGGTGTGTCTGAACTTTGGCATACCTGCTGTCTCATTTGTCTTTGGAGGAAACAGATCCAAACAGGCAACCAGACTTTGAATGCTTTGGGCAAGTGAACAGACAGAGATAGTGTGTTTCATCTGGAAGATGTGAGTAAGCGTCTGTGCATCAAGTACCGGCAATTCTTTTTCAGACGTCAAGGGTGTAATGGATGGGTAAGGAAAGTAGAAATGCAGGTGCTACTTGTGAATTAAGGAGGACAGAAATCTGAGGCTTCACGGCAAGCGGGAAGGTGAAAGCCAAGAAAAAAGAGAACAGGAACAAATATAAGGGAGCTGTTCTGAGAAAGAAAGTAAAGCCAGATATCTGAGTGGTTCCATCGCATGCTAGCTGCACACTCTTCTGTCATACTCAACACATTTCAAAGCTTCTGCCCTTTATGAAATGAAGAAGGTCCTATTTTCCTAACCCTCCAACACAGAGACATCCTATGATATGTGTGCTACTTATGAGTGGAATGTGGTTTAAAACATGAGGATTGGAAACCAAAAGACTGAAACGTGGAGAAATCATTTTCTGGTTGAAATGTTCCAGGAAATCTAGGCCATATGTTTCAGCAATTAAGCTCAAATTCTTTAGCCTGTCATTCAGGATTTAGTATCAGGTCTCTGCCTACCTGCTCTCCTTTGAGTAATTCTCCAGCTCTGTAGAGTGTGAGTAACACAGCGACGCCAAACCCCAGAATAGTGAGAAACAGAATCATCACCACAACTTCCTGTGGAACAACCAAACAGAGAAGTAGAGTCCCGAGGTAGGTGGCCCCAAGGTGCGTTCCCTTACAGCAGCCGCCATTTTCATCCCTCCTCCTCCCCCACAATGATCAGTCCCTACAAAGTGACACACATGCACCGGAAAAACAGGAGATGGTTACTCAAGGTAGATGACTCCAACCTTGCAGAATGCAGCTGGGGGTGGGGGAAGCGGCAGCCAGCAGCTCTGTGCATGAACCCACGGAAGACCACATTATGTGATAGAGGTTCCATGTGTTCATGGAAGGGGAATTGAGGGCTTCCGACTTAGACTAGGACCCAGAATCTTAGCTTTCTCACAAGAAGTACATACAGTGGAGAAAAAAACCGCTAAGCAGAAGTCATCCGTATAAGCTTCCTGGCAAACGTGGATATAAGTCAAGTTATTCTTTAGGTTGATGACCAGGATAAGGATCCCTGTTCCCGCAGCTATGCTGCTGACCAAGTTCGCTCCCAGGCTTCCTCGCACCTGATGATAAAGAACACTTAGACCCGCCGTGCATTCAATTAACCCCCAGGCATGTCAGGCCTGGATGTATCAAGTACACTCTGCATTTATTCAAAATAGAGATTAAAAAGGGGAATCTGGAAAATGTACTCATTTAGTAAGGATCTATAAGCTTCTTGCTAGAACTGCATTCATGAAGACCCACATGGACACACATAGCCTCTCCTCCAATAGCCTCCTTAATTGGAAACATGTCACTTATTTGATCACATGAGTATACTTACAAGGACAAGGCTGGTGTGAGGATATTTTTTAAACAAGTGTCAAGGTAATTATGCTTTCTTGTTTTTCAATGACACAATTGATCTTTCAATGATTATATGTTAATGGTTATATCCAACACAAAATAGATTGAAAAAAAACATCACATATCCACCTTATCTCATAACATAAGAGATGATGACATGGGTCCTGCAAGACTCCTAAATTCAATTTTTCTTACCTTCCCAAGGATGAACAAAGACTTGCAACTCACCAGATATGTTGCATCTTTCTTTTCAGACATCACCGACAAAAATCCGGAAATCGTAAACTGTCCAAAAGGGGGAGGGGAACACAGTGAGTCTCTGTTCTTCTCTATGTCCCTTCCACCCTCCATGCCCAATACAAGGTCAAGTGGTGGGTACTCTAGAAAGCTATCCTTTCGTGTCCCCCATGAGCTCACTGTATTCTTATTCTTATTTCCTATAGCGTGTTTCTCAAAATTAAATGTACATATGAACTATGTGAGGGTCTTGCTAAAAGGCAGATTCTTACTCACTAGGTTCTGAATGGGGCTTCATTTTTTCCCAGGCTCCTCATGGGATGCTGACCCTGACACACCCTGGGTAGCGAGGTCCAACAGCATCTGGGGCATGACTCTGTTCTAACACTCCTCTCATTGTAACAATTTGTATGTAATTATTCGTATGAGCACCCTGTGTGTTAGATGTCAGCTCCTATGAGCAAGAAACATCTGTTTGTGGTACAGAGATCTCTAGAGCCTAACATGTGTCATGTAGATACATAGTAATTATGAAAATGTACGTGGTGAAAATAGAAATCAACAGCTTAAATTCAAAATAATTTAAAAGACTCAGGTTGTATGATGGGTTGAGAGACCTAATAAGCTAAGTGTTTTTGGAATGAAAAGACAGAAGAGAGAATTTTCACATTCAAGATGGCTGAGGTTCAAGGAGAATTCTGAACAAGTGATCTAGTCTTAAGTATTTAGCAGAGTGCCAAACCAATGTGATATTTGTTAGAGTTAAAATATGCCCTGTGAGGGCCGGCAAAGTGGCACAGTTGGTTAAGAGCTCGCTTGGGACACCAGCTCTGAGCAGCAGGGCTGCGGCTCGGTTTCCACATTAAGGGCCAGTGACACTGCCCTCTACAGCTAAGATGATGAACAACAGCTCGACCTGGAGCTGGGCTGCCATGAGTCACCGGCGACGGCATAAGCTGCAGTGGGGCTGCAGTGGGCTCCCATGAGCTACATGAGTGGCTGGCAGCCGGTGTGAGCTTTCGTGAGCTGCTGTGAGCCACAGTGAGTGGCCAACCAATGACCAGCGACCGACTGCCTCACCCAGGTAGAGCACAATAATCATACCAATATGGGCCAGTGAAGCAACATCCTCCACAACTAGACTGAAGAACAAAACAGCAATTTGTCTGCCTGTCTGTTTCCCTTCCCCGATTCCCCAACGCTGTTCCCCTCCCCCAAATCCCCAATAAAAAATCTTAAAAAAAAAAAAAAAATATATATATATATATATATATATATATATATATATATATATATGCCCTGTGAATGATGTGTAGATACAAAAAACAACATGGATTAAATTGAAAATAATTATGCTGAGTGAAGGAAGCCAGACAGTAGGGAGAACAGGTTGTGTAATTCCATTTATAGAAAACTCTAGAAAAGACAAACTAATCTATAGTTACAGACAGCAGAACAGTGATTGCTTGAGGATGGGAAGACAGAATAGAGGGATGGAGGGACACCCAAGGGGCACAAGGAAACTTTTGGAGGTGATGGATATGTTTATTATATTGATGTGGTAATGTTTCCACGTGCCAAAATTTATCAAATTGCATACATTAAATATGTGCAATTTAGTGTACGTCAATTATACCTCAATAAAGCAATATCTTTGTAATCTCATTCAGTCATCTAGTTTCTAAACAGTATAATAATTAAACGAGATACAATGAGAAAGCGCCTGGAAAAGGTTTCTAGGGCATGGTAGAAGTTCATCAAATGCCTTTTGACCTTGTTCTCCTCACCTCAGCAGTCTCTTTTTCCTCCCTTCACTCAGGTAATGTTATTGATGAACAAACAGTGTTAGGAACATTTTTTCTGGAATTGGATTCTGAAAGTTTAGGTTCTATTTATAGTGGCTAAATGTCCCTTGAGCAATTCATTTAGCTTTTATTAATCCCACATTTCTCATCTGATAAAAATGTGCTAATGTGTTTAACTCAAAGTGTTTTATAAACTGCAAATATATTTTTATACAAATATATATGTTCAAATATATGTAAGATAAATATAATTATATTTATATATATTCTGAATACTGAACATAAACAGTTGGTTAGATCTGACCTGGATAAGAGAAAAGCTATGTACAGTATTATTTCACAGACCATTATAGATATATACTCACAAATAATGCTCCCCAGAGTGGAAAGCCTGCTTTAAATGATGAAAAAATATCTTTCTCAAATTCTGAAATCTTGAGCACGGAGTAGACAGTTATTCCAAAACAAAGACATATCAAACCAATTAGAATTTGCGTTACCTGTAGAAAAATGCATAGCTTTTGTGGAATAAAAAGATGTTTTCCCAAGATTGCATCCATTTCCTTTTAATTAAGGCCAAACATGAGAAACTGCCTTGGTGTCTTAGGCAGTCCTGAAAAAGGATTCAATTGCAATATTTTCCAGTATTCTCTGGCCACTCTAAGAATTGATACAGACATGACCTAATGCAGGAATAGCTAATACATTTCTCATGTGTGTTTACTTACATAGTCACGGTGGACATCAATAATTGTCCGTTCCATCCAAGTGAAGATAAAGGTTATAAATCCTTCACAACAAGATATTATATTAATCCACCAGCAACTGACAAGAGTTGGCATATCTTGCCATTCTTGATTTGCCATTCTTATCCTAGTCTTCATGAGAGAATGCTTCTCTCTACCCAGTGGAGCCCAGTTAGTGTGAACTCTTCATCTACCGGGTTCTTTACTTCTCGTGAATCCAAGTGCAAAAACTATTGATGCAGCCAAACATTTTTTTCCTAGAACCAGTCCTTACTTTAATTGAGGTTTGAGGAGGTCCACTTACCCCCAGGAATTCGAGCTCTCTCTTCAAAATTGTCAGCCATGTGCGGGGTGGTGGGGATGGGGCAGCCTTCTCTAGCAGGGCGCTATCATGCAGAGGTGCTTCTGAAAGTTCAATTTCAGATACACTGTGAAGTTTAAACAGAAATTCAGTCGTGAAAAAATTCTTTAACTTACTGTGTAATGTCCTGAACTCACAGAAAGGGGAGTTTGAACCATTTATTTTTTCAAAACAATCCTGTAATTAAAATCTTCATTGCAATGAATAAAAAATTGAGGCTCAGAGAGTCCAAGTAACTAATCAAGATCACTATCTAATCAGCCATTAGAGGAGACAAAATGGAACAAAAACTGTGCCAAGTCTTCTTATTTTTAATTCAGGATTGATCCAAAAATTAACCCAAGTTCCTTCTCATTGATCTAAGCAGATGAATGAAAATAAAAACAGTCAAACACATTTACCTATGTGTCTCTCGGTCTTTTTAACATAGAAATGTATCTTAAAAAATATTTTTAATAACACACTCAACTTTGTGTGCACAAAGGAGTGGTTTTGACGGGTTACTTGAATCTCAATTCCTGTTTTCATTTTCAGAGGAGGTTAACTGAAATACTGACCTTCTAAAACATTTGGAATATACTTAACATTTTGCAATGATAATCTGATATTGATTCCCAAAGCTCTGTCTTAAGCCTCTCTTAAAGCTTTTAAAAGGGAAGTTTTAATGTGTGTTCATTTTTGGTATTCAAATGAAAACTGAATTATCCACCTCTATCAGACTTTACTCCAAGAACATTTCTTCTCTCAACAGTAGGGCAGGATCCCACAGCCTGAGGTTCACAGAGACTGACGAGGAAGAATCCCAAGGTCATTTTTAGTTTTAGTTTTTAGTTTTTTTCTTTTTTATTGTTAGTTTCAGGTTATCCTTTTCACCCTTCACACAGAAACAACCCCCCTCCCCCATCTATTGCTCCCCCCCGATATCATGCTTATCTATTACAATTCCATTGACCCCATTCCCACACTCTACACCACATCCCGTGACTATATGTATATATAATTATAGCTGACATACAATATTATTCAACATTAGTTCAGAAATACAGTGCAGTGGCCAGGCCTCTACACCGACTATGAAGTGGTCTCCCTAACAAGACATGAATCCAACTGGCCCCCTAAAAAATATTTACATTATTGACTATATTCCCCAGACTGTCTTTCTATCCCTGAGGCCATATTGTAGTCACCCAAGGTCATTTTTAAAAGCTTCTGTCCTTTAACACACATCAGACACGAAGGCGAGAGATCTACATGGATAGTACGAACTCTCTACCTCATACTCAGAATCTGAGCCTCTTTCATTAGAAAAATTAAGTTATTCCCAGTTCGCAAGCTGAAAAACCTTCCTCCCCATAAACCAGAGAGAATTACTGGGGAAGTAGGGCAAATAGCTCCCTTAGAGTCAGTATTTTAATTAAACCAGATGAGTCCATGCCTGGGTCCATGCATTGACATCTCCCCAGCACTGTGACTATCTCTGGCCCACTAAGTGACTGGGAACACAAAAAAATAATAGCTGGTACTTACTTGGATGGCTCTTGTGGGGCTGGGAGAGCAAGATCTGCTCTGCTCCTATTTTCTGTGTCCATTTTTTTTTTCATTAACCGAGCTATCCAGTGATGAAGAATATTATAAGAATTAGCCTTGGTGGGTTTGCTCCCGGGTATGCCGGGGTGGGGTTAAGAGGACTGGCTCATGACACTGATGACTATCTCCATACTTAAGACATGTGTCAGACAGATAGGGTTACTAGCTGATTAAGATCAGCACGGTTTTTCATGTTATAATGAAGAGCAAACTTGAGTTCCTACTGACTAAGGACTAGTATGAAATGAGGCAATTTGAGACCAGCAGGATTTACAGAATCTAAAAATGAAACAGTTTAGTGGGGATTGAGAAGGTGAGAAAAAACTGCAGAACAGAAAGAGATGTCCTTCTCTTCGGAAGCTTTCTTTACTTGCGTCGCAGTTCAGCCATTTCTATGCCAGAAGTTCTCCAGCTGTACCTTTGAAACGCCAGTCTTCCCAGTTTCAGGGTTACTGGGCTTCACACGTAATCTAAAGCTGAAGCACTGTTTGCAAGTAGGAGTGTGTCTTAGTGTCTGCATCTCTGGGTTCGCTCTGACTTCAATATCATTGTCTTTCTGTCTCTTCCTGTCTTTTGGACACTTGATTTCTGTGGCCCTTTTGCAGCACATGGTCCCAGAAACTGGATAGGCGGAGTTCTAACAGCTGTGAGCCTTTCCTGATTGAGTGTGTTTTCACACTAGACACTCCATGTTTGCTAAACCATTAGATTGTCTGCTGCTTTGATTTTTATGATGGCAAGGAGGGGACAGTGGAAATAAAGAGGGACATGAACTTGAAGACAATTCCTGTGAGTAGCTCTCAGAAGCACTGGGCCGAGTGGTATACTTCAATTAGGGTTAGAGCAAACTAAGGCGTTTGTTCTAAGACAGGTTAGTTAGTGTAACAATTAGGCAGTTAGAAATTCCCAGGTAGGATGAGTAAAAGATAAACATATCTTCCAGGCCTCTGCTCTCAGCCCTGACCCCAAAAGCCACAGCCTTGAGACAATTTACTCCTACCAGACCAGGGACATCAATTATACCCGGAGGCAACTGAAACTATCCTGGAAGCCTCCTCCAGGCTGACATGGCCAACGAAATAAATCCTACCTGTTCAAGTAGGCACCAGTTTTCTCCCCAGATAGGCTAGGAAAAGCATATAAACAGAAGCCTCCCCGCTAGTCAGCGGGCACTCCAGTTTCAGATGCTCCCTCTCTTTTAGAGAGCTGTATCTCTTTAGTAAACTGTCCTTTACTGCAAACTTGGCCTCTCTTGTCCATGTCTCCATTCTTCAGTTCTGCAAGACCATGAATCCCGGCCACACACAAAACATCCTGCATCAGTTCTAAATGCACAACTAGCTGGACCGAAGCAAGGGAATATACAGGTGAGAGTCACACATTTGGGATACTTTTATTTCAGCTTAGTTATAGACATGACCTTGAATGGCTCTTTCATGTAATTGGAAGATACAACAAATTGTACCTCTAATCATCTGGACTGTCTCTCTGGGATGTGATGAAGTCTTTCCTTGTTCTCCAGGAAATGAAAATAATTGTATGAACAGGGACACTAAAAGATATATTAGCATACCTTTCGTAACAAAATTGATTCACCCATGTGCCATCTTCCCAGCGTCTTCAGGCATTGGTGTCCCTAACCAATGTGCTACTGTAAGTAAGAAATAAACCTCATTCACTCAGACATTTATCCAGAAAGAACTTCATGCACCATGTCAGCACTGCTGGTGTCCCTGAGCTCACAGAGATGAACACTGTGGTCCCAGCCCTTGTCCACCTCACAGTCCAGCAGAGTAGAGCAGAGTAGATACATAAATGATGTGTATCACCAATATGTCAGAGGCTTCTGGCACATACCAGAGGATCTACCAATTCTCATAGATCAATATCAATACCTGATAAGGGGTATGTAGAATTAAAGGAAGAGATTCCCAGGAAAAGGAATGGTTGAGCCGGGACTTAAAATCATAGCCTCAGGTGATTTCATTTCCTTGCTCTCCCTCAGTGAAATACACCACATCTGCTGGAGAAAGAGCTGAAGAAATGCTTGTTTACCCTGTTAACTGGGAGTGTATAACAGTTCATTATGTGCGCAGCAAATGATTAGAAATTGGTCTTGACATTTAGACAGGAAACAGATGGAGGATGGTCTTTGGTGTTTGGACACGAAGATCTTTTGTGAGACTTTTGACCAGAACCTTGAAAAAATGCAAACCAGAAACCAAGATGTTTCTGACCTCAAAATTGTTTCATATCCTAGTTTTCACCAGCATCTTCTTCCTACCCCCCTTCTGAGATGTGCATCTTCTGTGTCCACACTGTGGGTCCTTACAGCCATGCTCTTCCGTCTTTCACAATAGTTGAAACATATGACAAAATGACTGGTTGTTTTTTTTTGGTGGGGTCAAAATTATCAAGATGAGTTTTAATCATGTGTCTGCCTGGAAGCAAGAGATAATTGACTTAACATTTCTCCCCCACCACATATATTTCCTCCTTCTGGCAACACATTTGCACAAGTTTTCATCCACCACCACCACTCCCCACTCCCCCAAACCTGGCTTCCTCTTTGACAAGCAAAGGTTCTTTTCTGTTGCATTTATTTACATTTAAACTCAAAACAAATTTGCTTTCAGATCTCACCTGAACAATTGTTTTCCCAAACTGAATGCTCGAATTCCTTAAAATAAGTATGCATGAATTTGCATGTTACACATTGAAAGTGTACTATCTATTAAGGGGTATTTTCTGATACTCCCAAAGTAAGTCAATCAATTTCTCTCTCTCTCTCTCCCTCTCTCTNNCTCTCTCTCTCTCTCTCTCTCTCTCTCTCTCTCTCTCTCTTCTATAGCCCAGAGCCAAGTATGGGTTCAATAAATGATTAAGAGCCCGAGGCCAAGGAAGACCCAGGCTGATACCAAACTCCCAATGTTCCATGGGAAACTGATAAAAATGAAGGAAATGAAAAAATAGCCTTCACAGAACAAGATGGCTGGCTGTAAAAGGTCTAGCACTGAGTTCAAATTTGAAACCTTTTGTCTCTTCATTTGCATGACTTCAGAAATGCAGAGAAAGATTTATACAGACTACCCAAGTACTTAAAATGTCTTTGAACCCTTTCTAAAATTGGAGTTTACCTGGTTGCAGCCTCTGGGCCACTTAACCACTGAGCATCAAGGTCCAGCACATGTTAATTCTTTATCTGCTCTCAGCCTTTCCATCTCCCAAACTGACACTGTTCACAGGGAAAATTAGAAGTGTGGAATATATTTGTTCTCTTGTGACCAGGAACATCTGCTGAATGGAGAGAATTCTGAGACACCTAGAATCATAGACAAGGTGCAAACATCAGCTGTTCTATCCCTATTATGGATGATGAGCATGTTAGCTTTCTTTAACCCATCCTTCCTTTCTAGCATCTTCCTAATCCACCTATTGGGTCGTCAATACATCTCAATGTTTGCTCAAATTCATTTTTATTATTTTCAGTATTATTCCAAAACTTTTAATAATTTCCTATTCTTTAACTGGCTTATTTTTGAAAACATAATTTTATCCTCCAATACCTTACAAGTGTTGTATAAATTGCCTATCAATCCTTTCTCACATTGCGAAGAATGATGTATCACATAGTTTTTCTGGAGTCACCTGTATCACCTCATGTTTCAGTCTAAACTGGTTGCCTCTAAGCATGCCACGCACCCGTCACCCTGGGACTTCCTAATTGCCCTGTTTTATATTGAATTCCCTATTTCCTTGATCCCCCGTTTTTCTCTTTCTTAGTGTATTACCGCATGTTGGTAGAACATATTCTCCAAAAACATGCTGAGAAAGGGTATCTGGGAGACATTCTAGATTTTGAGACTTTACTCTTCTGAACATCTATTTTTTTACATCCTTGTATTAATTGAATTCTAGAAAGATATGGAGTTTGAACTGGAAAATACTCATTCATTCCATTTTCTTCTGGCATCTGGAGTTTGTTTTCAGAATCCCAAGTAACTTTTTTTTTTTAAGATTTTTATTGGGAAATTGGGGGAGGGGAACAGTGTTGGGGAATTGGAGAAGGGGAACAGGCAAGTTGCTGTCCTTTTGTTCTTCAGTCTAGTTGTGGAGGACGTTGCTTCACTGGCTCATGTTGGTATGATCATTGTGCTCTTCCCGGCTGAGGCAGATTGGTCGCCGGCCATTGGATGGCCACTCATGGTAGCTCACGGCAGCTCATGGCCTCTCACGAAAGCACACACCAGCTGCTGGCCAGCCCCACTGCAGCCTACACCATCACCAATGACTCAGGGCAGCCCAGCTCCAGGTTGAGCTGTTGTTCACCATCTTAGCTGTAGAGGGCAGTGTCACTGGCCCCCATGTGGGATCCTAACTGGGGTCCCGCTGCTCAGAGCTGGCGTCCCAAGGCAACTCCTAACCAGCGTGCCACTAGGCTGATCCCCCAAGTAACTTCTAATTCCAACTATTTGTATGTATCATGTATTTTATCTCTGGAAACTTTTACAACTTATTTTAATACCTAGAGGTAAAAAATACATGACGTTAAGATTTAATGTAAATCCTATGTGTTCATTTTACTGGATAGTTAGTAGCCATTTTCAAACTACAGTCCTGTGTACTTGTTCTAAATTTTTTTCCATGTATTTTTAAAATTAAATTTAATTTTTTTATATTAGTTTCAGGTGCACAAAACATTTACACCCATCACAAAGTGATAACACTTCCCGTCTACTACCCCTGACATCATATATAGCTGTTTTAATACCATTGACTATATTCTCTATGCTGTACTTTACATCCCGTGAATATATCTATATCTTATCTCTATATCTGTCTATATCTATCTATCTAATATATAATATAGATCTATAGATCTAGATATAGATATATATTTAATTATAGTTGACATTTAATATTATTCTACTTCAGCTTCAGGTGTACATCACAGTGGTCAAGCATCTACACAGTCTGTGAAGTGATCCCCCTGATAAGTTCAGTGCCCATCTGG